ATTGCTTAAATTTCGTTTTGGTATGGTCGATTAATGCCATAACGCTTCCCACTTTGAGCAAAAATGTATGAAGTTGTTTGATCTGATCACTATTTTGGATGATAAAACCAGTATTCCTGATTACATGGGTCGGTATCTAGGCCAACAAGAACATCGGAATATGGGACCGTGTTAGTTTTCTCATTGTAATTTTCTTCTGACGCTGAACCGCATTCATCTGCGCATTGTATTTTTTTCCTCAACTTGTTTTCTCTTTCCGCCAATATCATTTTCATCACCATTTGTTTCGTCGGGATGTTTCCCATTGTCGTTTTCGTCCGTTCCAATACCACATTCATCTGTACCATTGATCTCTTGTAGCATATCTTCAACTTCATTAGATCGTCGTAGCATTCGATACCATTGATTAATAGGAAGATTAATTCCCTTTCTACTAGGGAAAAATTTTCCACGGTCTTCTTTTCGGTAGTATCCACGGATACAAATATATGTCTGACCGTTCCAACACTGTGCGACAACATGTCTTTCTTTCGATAAATGGATACGCTTGGTTGACATGACAGTTTCTTTATTCTCCATAATAGGCTTTAGCGTTGGTGTAAACGAAGCGCTAGCATTTGGCCCAATTTCAACTTTCCGTTTCTTGGTAGGCTGCATAACGCGTTGCAAAGTATTCTTCGCCTTCTCAGTGACCATGGAGTCGGTGTAGTCGGCTGTTGGTTTATAGAAATTCATTCTGGTAGTATTTTATAACAGTATTTCGCAGAGACTAGAGTTTAAAAAGTTATTAGTGGATGAAGTTGAGCAAACCGATACTCTTACCTAAATTTTACTCTATTTCAAAGAGCTTACACTACCATCAACAAACACACATTTATACCAGTATTATTACTATTATTATTTTTTTTTACTACTATCTTTTATTTTCATTATTATAAATTTTATTACTACCATTATTTTATGTATATTATTTTTACTACTATTATTAAAAATATCCCCCCCCCCCGTGTTTTTTTGGTTTTTTTTTAAAAAGAAAACTTTTAACATATCGTTCATTGGTAATTCCACTCATGACATCATGGGCCGCATATCTATCGGCTTTTTCGTTACTCATCAGACGTAATCTTAATGCGCTTCGCTCATTGGTTGATTTCAATCAAGCGTCATACGTACCAGCGCATGTTTCGATCTTTTCATTATACGTCATTATTCGTCAGACTTCAACGTGACTGGGCCTGTCAATAGAAAACCCCACTATGCGTCATCAATTTGAAAAACCCGCTATGCGTCATCAGTCAGCTTATCTGTCAACTAAGCATTTTTTAGAACACTCGAGAGATCATGTAAGTTATTATCACTATTATTTAACGTTGAGACATTCTCAACAACAACACTTCTTTTCAGAACTACTTAGATAGGCGAAACGTACTTTATACATGTCATCCTTGCCAAAATGTTTTGAATAGAAAAAAAGTTGCTATCAGACTTGACGCTATCCCCAGCGAAACGTTGATTAGAGGAGTCTCTGTAAACGTATTGTGTTCAGTATACGATTGATCGAAATTGTTCTGAACATAAACAATACTCTGTGTAGTCAATCAATGATTGTTAACACGAAAAAAAAATTGACTTACCCATCCTCCTCTCAAATTTATCCATTCCAAAAATTCCGTCTCCACGAAATTGTCTACACTCTGTATTACTTGATCAATCAAATCAGTTCTGTTTCTATCTTTACATAACACAGCTAACTTTCCTCCAAACACAAAAACCATAATTATACGGCTCCAGTTTATGATATTATCACTAAACATCTCTGTTACAACGTCTGTAAAAAACTTCTCAACATTCTAATTTGAATCAAGCGATACTTGTCTTGTCAAATTATAAAAATGTTTATCGTACGCTTTATACACCTTTTCGCAATATTTGAAAAAAAATACAGTTCGTATCCTCTATCATTGCCTAGTTTATGTGCTACAGCGTACAGCGTATATTTCGATCTTTTTATTATACGTCATTATTCATCATATTTTTATTATACGTTATTATTCACGTCACCAGTTTAAAAAACCTGCTATGCGCCATCAGTCAACTTATCAATCAACTTATCATATTGGAACACTCGAGAGATCATCAAATGTAAGTTATTATCACTATTATTTAACGTTGAGACATTCTCAACAACAACACTTCTTTTCAGAACTACTTAGATATGCGAGACATACTTCACACATATCATCCTTGATAAAAGGTTTTGAATAGAAATAGATATAAGACTTAACGATATCCCCAGTGAAACGTTGATTAGAGGAGTCTCTGTAATCTTATTGTAAAATCAATGAATAAATAAAAACGCTGAGGAGTCTCTGTAATCCTATTGTATTCAATACAGTATACGATTGAAATCACGTTTTTGAAGTAGGCCTATGTAAAGTACATACTCAAAGACAATGTTTTAAAGCTTTGTTTTCTATGGTATATATCACACACACATTAATAAGATCTCTATGGTTGTCAAAAATCTCTGATAAAAGATCTTTTTATTTTGTGGCGCTTCATTTTGACTAATGGTGATGTGATGATTATGAATTTGACTAAAAGTGTCATTTCTGGCCATATGTGATATTTCCTCAAGTTTTCTCACCTCAGCTCCAACCATGGTGAGTCTGAGGTGGGTGTCAACCTGTCTCTTATACACTTCTAGATGTGTATAAGAGACAGCTGTGTAGTCAATCAATGATTGTTAACACGAAAAAAAAAATTGACTTACCCATCCTCCTCTCAAATTTATCCATTCCAAAAATTCCGTCTCCACGAAATTGTCTACACTCTGTATTACTTGATCAATCAAATCAGTTCTGTTTCTATCTTTACATAACACAGCTAACTTTCCTCCAAACACAAAAACCATAATTATACGGCCCCAGTTTATGATATTATCACTAAACATCTCTGTTACAACGTCTGTAAAAACTTCTCAACATTCTCATTTGAATCAAGCGATACTTGTCTTGTCAAATTATAAAAATGTTTATCGTACGCTTTATACATCTTTTCGCAATATTTGAAAAAAATTACAGTTCGTATCCTCTATCATTGCCTAGTTTATGTGCTACAGCGTACAGCGTATATTTCGATCTTTTTATTATACGTCATTATTCATCAGATTTGTAGAACTGTCATTAGAAAACCCCGCTACGCGTCACCAGTTTAAAAAACCTGCTATGCGCCATCAGTCAACTTATCAATCAACTTATCATATTGGAACACTCGAGAGATCATCAAATGTAAGTTATTATCACTATTATTTAACGTTGAGACATTCTCAACAACAACACTTCTTTTCAGAACTACTTAGATATGCGAGACATACTTCACACATATCATCCTTGATAAAAGGTTTTGAATAGAAATAGATATAAGACTTAACGATATCCCCAGTGAAACGTTGATTAGAGGAGTCTCTGTAATCTTATTGTAAAATCAATGAATAAATAAAAACGCTGAGGAGTCTCTGTAATCCTATTTTATTCAATACAGTATACGATTGATCGAAATTGTTCTGAAAATAAATAAATAAATACTATTATATATAAAGTATAGAGAGAGAGAAACAAATTGCAATTTGAATTTATTAATCAATGATTGTTAGCAAGAAAAAAAAGTGACTTACCCATCCTCCTTTCAAATCTATCCATTCCAAAAATTCCGTCTCCACGAATTTGTCTACACTCTGTATTACTTGATCAATCAAATCAGTTCTGTTTCTATCTTTACATAGCACAGCTAACTTTGTTCCAAACACAAAAATCATAATTATACGGCCCCAGTTTATGATATTATCACTAAGCATCTCTGTTACGTCTTTAAAAAAACTTCTCAATTTTCTCATTTGAATCAAGCGATACTTGTCTTGTTAAATTAAAAAGATGTTCATCGCACGCTTTATACATCCTTTCGCAATATTTGAAAATATATATTCCATATCATTGCCTAGTTTATATGTTACAAACGCTGAATTGATTTCTCGTGCAATTCTTTCAGTTACCATGCTTATATTTTTCCCTCGAATAACGCTATTTCTTCAAAATATATATAGTTAAAACGAATACTAAAATTATATGACCTCACTTACGGTTATACCAATATTATTATCATAATCATTATTATTATTTTTTCATCATTATTTTTATTATTATTCTCGTTTTGATCCGGACTATTCAAAAAAACAAACACGTCATCGCTCTTAACCAATGAAAATCGTTCTTTACATAATAATAATAATAATAATAATAATAATAATAATAATAATAATATAGAAATTTATATAGCGCCTTTTGCCAAAGGATACAAGGCGCTTAGAAAAGTTTTATTGTAGGAAGAGGATTATTTAGGAAATAAGTGAGCTTTTAAGAGTTTTTTGAAGACTTCAGTACTACAAGCATTTCGACTAGAAATAGGAAGATAATTCCACAGTTTTGGAGCAGAGGAAGAGAAAGATTTATCACCAGCAAGTTTGTTGGATTTGGGAACAGATAGACAGGAACCAGAAACAGAACGGAGAAAGAACAGGATTCTCTGTGACACTGGAAGCCAGTGGAGATGATTAAGAAGAGGAGTGATGTGACAATATTTGGGTCTGCAACATACAAGGCGAGCACACTTATTTTGAAGTTTCTGAATTCGACTTAAATTATATTTACTGATACCATAGAGTAGTGAAATACAGTAGTCAAGCCTGGAGAGTAGTAGGGCACGAACAACATTATGACAGGTTTCAAAATCAAGAAATTTGCGGATGCGGGACAAACAACGAATCTGCTAATTTATGGACCGAGAAAGGTGTGTTTAATATGAGCAGTCATATTCATTTCATGGTCGAAAACAACCCCAAGATTTCTGATAGTTGGTAATAATGTGACCGTCAAAATGGAAAACAAGATTTTCAAGGATTTTATAGTGATAATTTGAAGAAGCAATGAAGAATTCAGTTTTACCACTGTTAAATTTCAATTTATTATGGATCAACCAGGGTTGTAAATCGGTGACGCATTTAGATAATCTGAATAAACAGCAAGCAGCGTCACCAGGGGTGTTTGGGTTAAAAGATAGGTACAGCTGAACATCGTCAGCATAGATATGATACAAAATTGAATGCCGACGGATAATGTCACCAACGCAATGAATGTACAAAGATAAAAGCTGAGGACCAATAACAGAGCCCCGAGGGACTCCGAAATTAACACGAACTTCATCGGACAAGGCATCCCTAACACGAACCCTGCAAGATCTATTACTAATATAAGAATGGAACCAATTCTTTACAGTGCCATTAAGACCAAAATTGACATCAAGGCGCTTCAAAAGAATATCATGGTCCACCGTATCGAAAGCGGCAGACAGGTCTAACAATAGCATAAAAACTGCATGTTTGTTATCAATAGCCCTAAGAATATCATTTTGCACACAGATTAGTGCAGTTTCTGTACTATGGGAACGTCTGTAGGCTGACTGAAAGGGGTTGGCAAGGTTATTTCTATAGATATATGCAGCCAGTTGCGAAGAAACAACTTTCTCAATTAATTTGCCAATGAACGGTAAACATGAGCCAATCAAACTCATTATATTCCTGTTTACATTCTACAGGGATATTCAAGTCACTATACCCACACATGACGTCATTCAAAAATAAATCAAGTCACCGTTATCACTCTGAGCCAATAAAAATCGTTCTTTCCAATCAAATTCAACCTTTCCACACTACGTCACCATACCCTCATTATACAATTTATTATACCACCATAATTACATTGATCAACAATTGTCAATCATAAAAATACACTCATAAATATATCATATCCATTGTTCTATTGTTTACGTCATATGTAAATAAACAGTTTCATACCCAATAAACAACCATAAACCACCTCAAGTGGTATACACAACTACTCTTGTAAGAAATCAACTTTAAATGAATATCTCAGATATAAAAACAAACCTTTTTTTTGGAAATATATCTATATGATAAAACTTACTTCAAAGGAATCAGTCTTAAGTTTAAAGCAAGTTCTAATTGTTTAGCTTTAGAAGGTAGGAAAAGTACATGGTATGATGGGTGCACAGGTTTTTGCAAATTATGTAACTGTAACTGTGGAAAATATAGAGCACTTTCTATTAGAATGCCCACAATGCTATAATATTAGGGCTAAGACCTTCCATGAAATTTAAATTGCTCTATTTAAAAATAATTTACATGAATATTGGGAAAATTTCTCCAATGGTTCACCAGATCTAAATATTCATTATTTGCTTGATGATCTTTTCTCAACAAATTCCAATCTTGGCTTAATTTTTGATACATGTATTAAAGAATATCTAAAAGATGCATGGGAAAAACGAACAAATGTTTTAAATGACCCTGCTAATAATAGCTTATAGATGTTTTCTCTCTCTCTCTCTCTCTCTCTCTCTCTCTCTCTCTCTTTCTATAATGATTTTATGAATAGACATTAACTGTACTTCTGTTGTGTTTTTGATATGTATGCTTTTACATCAAGTTCACATTGCATTTATTATATTATGTGCTTGTTTTTATTTAATTACTTATCTATTTTTATTTACTTTATTTTATTATTATTGTTATTATTATTATTATTATTGTAAATATATTTTTTCTTTTTTTCCCTTTTAGTTGAGATTTAAAACTTTAGAATAATATTATTTTAATTGCATTTGGATTTTTCATTACTATTTTCTCTTTTTCATGAATTTTATCTTTACTTGTAACTTTTGTTTTGTTGTATGGTCGAACCTCTCCTGCGTGAGAGTGTTCCTCCGTTTTGAAAGAGAGAGCCAATAAATTATTATAACTATAATTCGTTCCTAACCCAACCTATCGATAGGCCATACGAAATCTCATGTTATTCTGATATCACCCCTAATATATTATTGCTTATGCTCTAGCTAGAATCATGAGAAAACACAAACATTACAAGATTTACACTTAACCTCTATTTCACACTGAATCCTCCAAAACCAAAAACATATATCAACTAACCTACTCTGCTATCTATGGCTATGCTTTGCAATTAGACTATAGTAATAATACGCAGCACTAGAAGCTGCTTAGCAATTCCCCATTGTTGATTCATTTGAAAATCTAAACAAAATCGAGTCTGGGCCTAACAAAAACACGTGTATTCCTGGGCCATCGCCTTCCTCCCCTCCCCATGATTCATTTTAGCAGTGATTACAAAATCATACCGCCAGTCCAGTGTAGACCACTCGCTATTGATTTTACAGTTATCAGGAAACAATATTTTTCTACTCGAATCCTAGTAAGTTGGGCCATTTCTGGCAATTCCGTGACCGTGGAGAGGCTAACTTAGTTTTTCGGTGTATTTGTCTTCCTTGAGGGTATAATAACAAAAATAGCTTGGGTGTCCCTCGCGAAAGTGTGGGCATAACCTGTGAGAACCCTAAATCCAAAATGGCCGCCTTCCGGCATTTTGAAATTTATTATTTTAGTGTTTTGGCCAGGCTATGGCTGCTTTAGTGCATGGATTTAGGGGTTTTAGGGGTCCAGAATTTCATTTTTGATGTCGGATCGATTATTCTACCTAGTTTTGAACCTAAAATCTAAGATGGCCGCCAATTTCTCTTCAAAATCTTCAGTTTTTTGGTAAAATCATCATAGTGCCTCTATAAAAGGCCTAATGAAAGCTCAGATCATGCTTAATTGACTGCCAGACAATAAAACGACAATTAATTATACAGAGGTCATCTCATAGATCAATGGTCAACATTTATGGTTAATTAAAAATAAAGTTATTTGTTTCGTTGCTTTATAAAATTCCATTTTACTGTACTGTTTATATCTAGAAATTCATATTTGGACGATGTATGATCTTGGTTCCTCTGACTTAGACAAAACTTTTACTGGACTTGACCAGTTTTTCTCGTGACTAGTTTTAATGCGCACTGTGTCTTCTGGTTTCAGATTGGACAAGGGTTTAAATCCATGTCGCTGATTGAAGAAGTGTTCTTATCGCTTCTTTGCTACAGTGTCGTTGTCTTTCACTTTATGCATATCCGGCCATTTTGGTTGCAATTTCTTTGCAAGTGTCGGCAATGTTGTTCTTGGTTGACGTCCCATTATCATTTGTGCTCGGCTGTATCCTGTTGCTTCGATTGGTGTTGACCTATATATCATCAGTGCTAGCACAGGATCATTTTGGCGTAACATAGTTTTCGCTGTTTGGACAGCACGCTCTGCTTCACCGTTTCCTTGAGGATAGTGTTGACTTGTCGTTACATGTTGAAATCCATACTCTGCGGCAAACAATCTGAATTGACGGGATGCGAACTGTGGTCTGTTGTCTGAAACCACAGTCTCTGAGATTCCCCAACGGGCATATATTCCTTTCACTGCAGTGATGACCTTCTGGCTTGTTATGTCTTTTCGTAGATTGATCATTTCAATGTACCTTGAAAAGTAGTCAGATACTATAAGATAATGATTGTTCTGGAAATCACAAATATCTATCGATATACGTTGCCATGGACGTTCTGGAATCAAAGTGGTATTTAGAGGTTCTTTCTTTTGCGTTCTCCTGTAGAGCTGGCAATGTCCACATTTCTTTACAAAGTTAGCTACTCTATGTCCTTGCTAATACCTAACCACCACACACTTTCCTTGGCACGCTTCCGGCATTTTGTAACACCTTGGTGTCCATCATGGATACGCTGCATGATTTCTCCCCTTAGCTCAGATGGGATGTATATCCTATCATCGAATGTGATCAGTCCATCATCAGCAGAGAAATGACCCCTTAGATCGTATAAACTTCTTAGGTTATCTAATATGTATTTTAGAAGTGTTTGGCATTCATGTTTGGTTGCTTGTCTTATCTGCTCTAGCTTTGATGCTGATGCAGGCCAGGTGGTTGTTATTGATTCAACATAGAGTGCTACAGCTTCATTTGTGGTAGATTCGCTAACACTCATTGGGTTTCTAGACAGTGTGTCTGTGATGACCATGTCCTTACCTGGTACATGTTTTGCTACTGCATTGTATCTCATTAACCTCATGATTAATCGTTGACACCTTATTGAATTTGTCAAGGTCAATGTTGTTGATAAGTGGAACTAGTGGTTTGTGATCTGTGAGAAGATCAAACTTTTCTAGTCCACAAAGATATCTATGAAACCGTTCAGTTGCCCATACTCCTGCTAAGAGTTCTTTTTCTATTTGAGCATATCAATAAACTTCAGTTTATCATGGTTTAGCCAGGCCTGCAGCCCTAAACTGCGTTTTCCTTTCAGAGCGGTAGCTGGAGATTTACGTTTCGCTAATACAGTGCTGGTAAAATCATTGTTCACATATATATTTCGTGCCTTGCATTGTGGCCTTTTCTTGGGGGGGGGGGGGGCATTTTCCGGACATGTTCTTTACAATGTATTTAAGGAAGTATTGCCGGGTAATTGGTCCTACCGTATGCGCACGTTGAATAGCATCTTCATCTAAAGTAATTCTGAGAGAATTTTTAATAAAGTTGTTTAAAAATTCTTCCATACTATTGTAGCTATTTTCACAGCCTTCTGGAAATTCTGTAAATCGGAGGTTATTTCGGTTTATTGGAAGCATCAGCTAAAGTATTAATTTGTGCGTGAATAAAGTCGACATTTTCTTTAAGATCGTTCCTAAATGATTCAACTCCTTCTTTAAAAACTTATTCTCTGTTTTCAAGACAACTATTTCTGTTTCTATGGCTGAAATTTTTCCGACCGTATCACACATAATTAACAAATTTCAAATCATTTATTGACTTTCCTAATGTTATCTTATTTCATAAGAGTAGATAACCAAGCTTCATTACTTTTGGTCACAGAACCGCCACCCTTGTTTAAGCTTTCCGAGTTCACCGTTAGGTATGCCGGTTGTTGTTCGTCTTCCAAGACGATTGCAATTACATTCCTATTCAAATTAGTTTGGATTGGTGTCTCGCTACATTTCGGCCACGGGATCTTTGACCCAAACTTCTTGCAGATTCTTTTGAGTTTTTTCCTTCATTTTTCCTGAAGACATATTCTGGAGATTAATATACGGACACGCCGTTAGATAATACGGATCCACTATTGAATAAACATCAAACACAATTAACTGAGTTTCTCATAGCATTTATTGGATCAATAAAACTGATACCATTATCAACAACAAATACAATGTCATATATGCGGAGCACACAGCAGCCGCCGACCGGTTCTCATTAACACCGGAATTAAACTATAAGTAGGCCTGTCCCTTACTGGGCTCTCAAGTCTTAATGACTGAGTTCGATTATAAACTATTTTATAGAATTACTACAGGTCCTACCTTACTTAAAACTAACGTCGGGCTTCCCCAGTAAACTTCATGAGATCCAGAGCTCAACTACTACATGTCTTCGGCGATGGGTCTTAAGATCCCAACCCAGCTATTTTTAGATAGCCAATCGGCTCCCAGCATTAGGGAGTTGCCTAATCTATTTATAATAGGGGGTGGACTGCACCATTTTGTTACACTGTCCCCTCCTCAGATGTATCGGCTCCTTCGATACGCAAGAAACTCATTTATTTTAAACAAACAAGAACAAATTAACTAAGATAAAGAAGTAATCATAATGTCCAATTATCATTATAAGTTATCATATAAGATTACTGAATCATCATTATCAACTTTACAACAAATCACAACATAATTATTGAAATAAATTGCCATTTAGATTAAGTTTAACAAACGAGTAGGTCTTTAGCATGGCCGGCGGAACCGGGGGGCCGGCCCCCCCCCCCACTTTTTGGCAAAAAATATATAATGTCTGGAGATTTTTGTATGATCGGAAATGCAAGAAAAGAAGGAGGGAAGGAGGAGAAGGATGGGAAAGAGAATG